ATTACTTACTTATTAACTATATTATTATTAACTTTATTAGATTTATAATAAAAGTTATTTTATTATTTTAAAGATTTCTTAAATATAAAAAGAAGTTCTTTTCTAGTTTTTAATATATTTTAATTATAATTTACTTATATATATATTATCTTTTTAAAGTAGTAATATAGTTTAATAACCTTTTTAAATTCTAATTTTTATATTTTATAGTATTTTATTATACTAATATCTTAAAACTAATTTAATCTTAGATTATTATTAGATTATTAGTTAATTACCTAAAAAGAAAGTTTTAGAACTTTATTTTATTATTATATATAATATAGATATCTCTTTAATATTTATAGTAAAGATACTAAGTAATTAAATTAGTTAAAAACTTAATAAATAGTTTAATTTTATTTATTATATATAAATTATAATAACTATTACTTATTATCTTATATAAATTATTAAGAATAAAGATATAATTTTTATATTAAAAGTTAATATATTACTTTTTTATTAAACCTTTAATATAAGGAAATTTATAAAATAAATAAATAAATTATTTAATTATTTTATAATTTATATTCTTTTAGTATTTTGATTTCTATTTTAAGAGAAATTCTTAGTAATTCTTTTAACTTTTCTATAGATAGTTTAAGTAAAGCTTTAGCTTATAATCTCTATTTCACTTATACGCCCTGGAATAAAGGTATCCTTATAGGTTTCCCAGAGGTACTCTAACTCCTGAAGATATAACTTATGGTAATAGTTAATTTCGTCTGAGGTGGGCTGATGGCCTGGGGCTGAATTCACACGGATAGGCTTGCCGATAACGACATTGACGGGTCGACGATACGGCATGAGGCCGACATCGTAATTAAGGAGGCCACGTCCATGTAGAGCTGGCAAAGTGAACTTGAAGACCTTGAGAGTGAACATCTGCAGCTTGTGCACCAGAGGGTGGGCTTTGGGGCTGAGCTGGTCGTAGATATCGTTCTCCCCGAAGCCAATTACAGGAACAAGGTCAGCGCCACTGCGAAGTGCCATTTTGACGAAGCCCTTGCGACCTTTGAGAATTAAGCGCAAGGTACCGGGTTGTGCCTCAAGTGACTCGCGAGCCCCTCCAATGACAATGGTGACTGCCCGGCCCTGGCCATCATTCTTCGGACCGCCCTTGCTTAAAATATTTCGAATAGATTCCTTTGAGACAGATCGAACGCCCATGGCCAAGATCCAGTCTCTGTAGAATGGAATGCGAAAGTTGGAGTCCAGAGTGAGGATACTGTTGGTGATGCCAGGAAACTTGTCTCTGAAGCCAAGGGCATTTGTCGCGAAGGAACACCAAGCGCCATGTGAAATGATGCCATGTGGGTGGTATCCGAGGATGTATCTCCTTTGGGGATCAAGATCAAAAGTTTTGTGTAGGCGAATCGGGAAATATCCGGCGAAAAGCTTCCACAGCGGCAAGGAACGCAGGTATTCCGAGCGATAAGACAATGATCCATCAACAGCTGCAGTGGAAAAAGTCAGATGCAACAGATATGGGATTAGAACTGGCCACATGAGAGGGTTGGCGCAGGTGAACCAAAACAAGGACACCAAGACGACGATGGACATGCAGTGGAAGAGCACTGCCCCCGTCTGAAGACGGCGTCGCAAGGGTACACGCAAAGGCGCGAACCGGATTCCAACAGCCTTCCAATTTGCCTCGCTATTCCTGAGCGACTTCTCGCTGCTCAAGGCTGGGTATCTCCTCCTTGTCGGTTCGACGCCATTGACGGGCGCTTTGGCGGCGTCGGCGTATGATTTCGAATCGCCGTTCGTAGCGGGCTCAGCGCCCTCAGATGTCGCGGCATTTATCTTCGTTTCACTCTGGTGGAACGCAGTAGGCACATCGTCCTTTTTGTCCTGTAGCTTGTTCTGTAGCTTTCAAATCAGACGTGCGCCTTCGATAGACACAGAAACGCCTACTAGGATTGGACATACCAACACATTGTAATTTCCAGGGCGAGCAACAAGTTGGGCTCTACCGAGGCCTTCGTTCGCAGCTAATCGCCATCCTTTGTGTCAGAGTATGGTCCGAAAAAAAGACTCTTAGCGCTGGGCGTAATTGTGATCAGGCAGCGGTGCGGCATCGTCGTACAGTAGGAAGAAGCCAGGAGGAACAGGTGGCTGGCAGCCCGGCTCGTCGATACTAGCCCTGAGCATCAAGATGACGTACCGGTTGGGGGCAAGCCCATTGATTCGCTTGCCATGCTGTTCCGTAGGATGAGTCCTACTCCGGACTGCGACTATAAAGCGGTTGATAATCAGACGGTGTAGCTAGGAGATCAAGCGTAGATGTTCTAGACGTTGAAGAGCGGTGGATAGCTGGTGGCGTCATGAGGCGCAGTGCGAAAAGCGCCCCTCATCCGACACCCCGCTGACACTCGACCACCCCCCTCTGATGCGTTGACTCAACTAAAATAGCTGAGTACCTAGTCGCGGCCGCGCTACTTCTTACTCGTGTATTGCAGAAGGACCTACAGTTGCTGCCAACGAAAAGGCAGCTAAGATTCCTTGATGCTAATTGGGTCTCATTAAGTAGTGCTCGTATGGTGAACAAGCGCGCTATTACGCGCTGCATCGGCTGGCTGCTTCAACCAACTTGCTCTTGCCGCTGTCTCAATACTCCCCCTTCTGATCTGTTTCCCCGTGTCACTGCGTGACACCTAAGTGTTGCGCAAACCTGGAATTGTCGCGCAATATCTCGGACGTCCTGCTGCTGCCAGGTTCAGCTCTACTTCGGCAGCATGGATCCTCCATATCAACCACCCGGTCCACAGCAGGTCTTTCCGCAGGCAATGCCGCCTCCAGACGGGCCTCCCAACTACCAGCGCTCGGCACCGTCCCAGCTCCAGCTCCCAGCACCGCGACAGTTGCTTCATTACGCTGATACTTATCGACAGGCCTCTTCTCAGAGCCACCCTGGCCATCGGAGTTCATCTGCTAGCCTCCCTGCTCCTCATCAGCTAGTTGTCCCCCCACCCGCACAGCCGCAGCATCATCAATCTCATCATCACCACCATCATCATCAACATCATCATCAACAACGACAACAACAACAACAACAACAACAACAACAACAACAACAACAACAACAACAAGATCACCTGCCTGCGCTGAACCCCAGCCACGCCCCAAGGAGGAGTTATGCAAATGAGGGGGCAGCGTCCCCTGCAACAGATGCTCAGCCTAACCAACTTGTGCTTACTTCGGTCTCCAATGTGGATGAAGTTGAAGGTTACCAGTATCAGTATGCCCTATCCCATGCCTCTCTGCATGACGATACTCGGCTAACTAGGTGTCAAGTCTCGACGTTATACAGCAGCCTAAGCGGGCCCGTATGTGTGGCTTTGGTGATAAGGTAGCTCGCATGCTGTACCCTTTTGCCACACCAATCTAATGGAAAAACAGGATCGTCGGCCCATCACACCCCCACCCTGTGTTCGCTTGTCAATGATTGACATGACCACTGGTAAAGAAATCAACTACAAGTAAACTACAAAGGATTGCACACGATGAATGGAATCAACATCTGATAAATCTTTGCCTTAGCGAAATTGACCACGCCACGTTTGTCCTAAACGTCGATCTTTGGAATGCCGACGGGACAAGAGAGGTAAACCTCGTTCGCTCCTCTGCCGCGGCCTCATCATCGGCCGCGTCATCTATAACCTCTCAGGGTTTCGATTGCCATAATAGCGCAGAAGCATCTCATGGCATGCATTTGTTACCGTCAGGGCGTGATGCGTCCTGCAGCCGGCAACTCGCACCTCAATACCAAGCGGGACCAGCCCAAGCAAGCTATAATGGTGGTATGCGACCTCAATTATCATGGAATCAACCACGAGTTACTGATTCAGTAGCAGGGATTCATAATCGCTCGGGTGGCACTTACACCTCCTCGGCTCAACACTACCAGCAGCACCACGGCTATGGAACAGAGCAACTGATACTACCACAAAGCAACGGTCACCATTCGCGAGCAGCCTCGACTTCCGAAGGAGGCCACGGTCCAGAGTCAGGGATCATATCAAGAGCGAGTGTCAATGGAGGGCAGCCACAAGGCATGTTCACTCGAAATTTGATTGGTAGCGTCACTGTCAGTGCGTTCAACTTGTGCGACACGGAAGACAAGCGAGGTATCTGGTTTGTTCTCCAAGACCTCAGTGTGCGGACGGAAGGAAACTTTCGGTAAGATACTTTCTGCGAACTCTCTGGCATATCCAAGTTAAATGAGTTGTTCTAGCCTTCGTTTCTCATTCGTGAATGTCGGCCCACGAGGAGGGCGTGTCCCTCTAGACGGCAACACAGCGAAAGTTGTCACAGGCCGAGCTCTGATTCTCGCATCTTCATACAGCGAAATATTTAACGTTTTTTCAGCAAAGAAATTTCCGGGCGTTTGCGAAAGCACAGCTCTAAGCAAGACCTTTGCAGCGCAAGGCATCAAGATACCTATTCGCAAGGAAGCCAGTGGGAAGGGTGATGATGAAGATGGCTATGGGGATTAGGCCGATGTTGTCTTTAACATCAGACGTGGTTCTTTTCTTCTTTTGAAAGGCAGAGACAGTATAGCAATGTTTGATCTCGTTGGAAGTTAGCAACGGATCAGGGTTTCATTACGAAGCCGAACTCCTACTCCCTATATACCTACTACCTAAATATTATAATACAGTGGATCCAGGTAATTCCGCTCACGACCCCAAATCCCACTGAAATACCCACTTTTTAAGTAATATTATTACTATATTAGTAATCTAAATAAATTATATAGAAAATAACTAAAAATAAAAAAATCAATAATATATAGCTTATAGTTTTTTTTAAAGATTTTTTAGTATTAAATTTAACTAGATAATATCTTATAAAGTTAAAAGTAGGTAAAAAAGGTAAATTTTACTAGTAAAATACTTTTATAAGTTCTAACTTAAATATTATAAATTAACTAAACTTTATAAATATCTTCTAAAAATAGAATTATATATTTTTATTATTAAAGAATTTAATTATAACTATAGAAAAATAATTTTAGGTACTAGCTCTTATAGTATTAGTAGTTTAAAAGTAAGTATTTTAGTAGGATTTAGGGTTATAAGTGGAATTACTTATAACCTATTGTAATAATATATATTTATTATTATTATTATTAAAAACTATAATAAACTTAGCTAGGAAATAGTCTTTTAATATCTAATAATAAAGCTATACTTTAATAATAAACTTATAAAAAAAGATAATAAAGTCTTTAAATATTATATAATAATAGCTTAATCTTAATCTATAGTAGATTTATTTCTTAGAAAGTAAGTTAAAATAAAAGCTATAAAATAGTTTATTTAAATAATAGTTATAAGATAATTACTAAGAGCTTAGTTTTAAAAACTAATTACTTAGAATTACTTAAATTAATTAGTAAAGATTTAGAATATTTAGTTATAAAAGTTCTTCTTTTTTATATACTTATTTTTCTTTTTATTATAAACTAAAAGTATTTTAAATTATCTATAATATTAATAATTTATTTCCTATAAATTATTAATTTATTTATAATATTTTAATTATATTTTAATTATATAATCTTATATTTTAATTTAATAGTTTATAAGTATTTACTTAGTTATAACTTTATATTAACTTCTTACC